GTCCTTGATTTAGGATGATTCAGCTTAGAAGTTTCTAACTTCACAAACAATGAGAAAGCAGTATAATTTCAATGTAATCTCTACTTTGAATCTTGAATTTTCATCTTTTCCTTGCCTACAGATATTTAATTGGATATTAGCTTGTGATACAAGGCAGCAGCAGGGAGACACAGCTGCCAATTAATCAGGTGATCACAAGGGGAAACACCTGATATTTTACAGTGTGCTGTGTGGCTCAACTAAGGCTGTAGAAAGGTTAAGTGTATTAAATGTATTTTTAACTTATGATATCTTTAACTCCCGATGAGTTTATCAGAACATAACCCCATAAATAGAAGAGCATCTGTACATATTGAAGATAGACTCAATAGGACTTGCTAGTAGATTAGATATAGGTAGGGTATGAGAAGAAGAGAGAAATTAAGAGGGAAATCAAAGTTTTTGGACTCAATAATAGGAAGATTTGGATGGAGGAGATTTGCATGAGGATTAGGAGTTCCATGTGGTTATAGATGCCTAGTCAACAATTGTTCTGGAGCTATTTGGTAGGCAGATATTATTAGTCTGGACTTCAAGAAAGAGAACTAGAGAGCCACGCCTGCTCCCGACCCAGCCGCCATCGCTCAAGCGCCGGGAGGCAGCCTGGGCCCCGATCCACCCTGGGAAGGAGAACCACACTTGCTCCAGACCCAGCTGCCATCACTCAAGCGCTGGGAAGGTAGCCTACCCCCACCGCACTCTCAGACCTCCTGACTGTGCCAGTCTTTGCACTCATTCTGCAGAGGCAGAGGTGGTCATCAAGGGTATTTTTCTGAGTTCCCAACTTTGAACATCTTTAAAGAAAGGGCGTGGGAAACCTGTAATAGAAGGTTGCGGAGTTCAATCATTCAGAAGGATGGGACCTCAATCTGGGCCTTGCAGCCCGAGGTCAGTCAGCGTCATGGGGTTCATCCATCAGCTAACTGAGATCAGGGATCTTGCATCCTCGCTCTGTCTGAGCCATTAAATGGTAAATACACTATATTGAAATTTTGTTCACTGCAGACATGTTCTGGACTGCTTCTTGATTTCAATTTAATTCAAGTGATTTAAGGGTGATAGACTAGTGACTACCACAGGTGGTCAGTGTCCAAGTTGTGCTTGATCTTAATGTGTTGCTGATTGTATCAGTTGGGGTAAAGCATTGCCGTTGATTTGATGAGCTGTTTTCTCTGATGTTATGAAGATGAGAATGTCTCTGGGTTGTTAGAGACAAAGAAGCAGGGTGCAACTATATCAGGAAGATTTGGGTGATAATCCAGAGATTAAACCAAGGACAGTCCGACAACAAAAATTAAAATGAGAAAACACTTAAGCAAGACACAAGGACAGACTTCCAGTTCACCAATGGCAAACAGTAGGGCAAATGAGGATGAAAAGGCCGATAGTGAACCACCAGGACACCCTGAACTCAAAGCACAGGAAGTAACAAAACAGATCAATCAGGCTCTAGAAAAATTCAAAACAGAAATAATTTCCCAGATAACCA